TTATTTCTTGTGTTCTCCTCACATTATTGAAAAAATATATTTCTAAAAATTTTATTATAAATATTTATCAAGTAATGATTATTTTTTTTCTTAACAATCTCCTGGTACTATCCCACAAGTATTCAACATCTCCTGTTAACATAAATATCACATAATTCACCTTTTAGTTGTCGTAACATTTCACAACTCAATATTTTTTTCAATTCTTTAATTGTTGAAGATTTGTGGAGGTTTATTTTTCCTAAATTTAACTAAACCTTGTGATTTATTGATGCTTCTAGTTCCTTAATAATACAATAATCATGTCTCTCTTAACTTATTATTTCTATAAACTCATTATTCCTGGCCATATGAAATTATATTACAATTCATAAAATCTCATAATGAACTCATTTCACATTAAATGTTGCTCTAATATCATTAAATATGATGTCCTTTTTTATTAAGTTATTAATTTAATTATATTTCAATAGGTAATTATTTTCTATTAAATCTTCACATAAGTAAAATAGGAAATAAATATTTATACATTTATAGGTATAAATATATACTTTACACGTTTATATTAAAAATAACAAGTATTTTTTTCTCTAAAAGGGATTAATTTATCTATGATATTTGGCTTCTAACTTGATGCCTCCGTCTATTTAAGTTAATATTTTTAGTTGTAATATGCACAAGAGATAAATAGGGAGGTGAAAATAAATATCTTATAAAATAATATTATCTCGAAGATAATATACAAAATCAAATTTTCAATTTCATCACCAAATTCCATTTATTTTATATTATGAAATTTTGAATTGATTTTTTAGTGATTAGTTAGGATAAATGAATCCAAAATTAATCACTCTTTAACTGATATTTACTCATTTTAATCCCAAAATACAACCTTCATCTACAGTGTTATCAAATTTTCATAAATAAAATAATATCACTACATAATTAAAAATAAAACTAATACGTAACTGAAAATAAATAAATAAATATAAAATAGATCAATACAAAAATAACTTTAATGTAAAAAAAATAAATGGAATGAGATTAAGTATCTCCTTCTCTTACCTTAATAACTATTTTACCTTAAATGATAGAGTAAAATATTATTACTGATATATTTTCTTCAGTCACTTTCTCTTATCTCCATTTCTGACTCTATATATGTCTCTTTTCTCCCTTTCTCTCTTGTTTTTTTTTAATAGCTAATTACTCCCTTTTATACCCATAAATTTACTTTTCTTTTCCTTTTTTTTCTACATTTATGTTTAGAATAATTAATTTTTTTATTTTTTTCTTTAATCTTAACATTAATAAAAACTTATCTCTTCACTTGTAGAGTTAAAGGTTCTTATCTCCATTTTTAATTAATATATATATATATATATATATAATTATTTTTATTAGTTAATTAATAATTTTTTACTAATAATTTTAATAATAATATTAATAATAATAATTATTATTATTATATTCATTGAATTTTAATAATAATAATTTAGTAATAAATTTTATTAGGTCTCTTATTATAAAATATTTAAATTATATAAAATTATTATAATTTAATACATTATATTTAATATATTTTACATGATAAATTTTGAGGTATTATATAAAACATTATTATATAAAATATTATTTTTATAAATATAAAATATTATTTTTATAAATATAAAATATATTTTTTTAAATAATTCAGAGAAATTAGTAAATATAGAAGATTATTATGTTATTTATATAATTAAGATAAATAAATATCAGGTGAACATAGATTAAATTTTTTTATCTTTGATTTTTCATTATTAAAACAATCGTTAAATTAAAATATTTATTTATAATTAGATACTTAAAAAAATCCATATATATATATATAATTAGTAGTGATTAAAGTAGCTTTAATTTTAATTTCTATGTAATCATAGTGATTTTAAGATTAGGGAAAATTTAGAAACATAGATAGATGATATTCTAGAATTATAAATAGTTTAGATGGGAGATGGTGGGTTAAGGTTAATCACAATTGAAAATTTTTTCTCTAATTTAATAATTTTTAGCAACAATAATAATTTTTTAAATTGATTCAACTAGATTTTAATTTCCTTATTCTTATAAATCTTGAAATTATGATAATTTAGTGTCATCAAATTCCTTTTCAATATCAAACCTATTTTATAATTTTTAATACTATCTATATCAATATAATTATTTAGACTAGTGTCCTTTACCTAAGTTTTTTTTTCTTTTTTCTTCATTTAAAGTTTTCTTAATTTAATTAAAAAAATAAATAATAATTTAAAAGAGACTTATATTTTTTATGTCATTATATTTAATTTTTACTATAAATATAATCATTGAATTGTTCTGAATTTAATTTGCAATTATCCTACTTTGATAGTATTTTATATTTGAAGATAATATTAGATATTTAGGTTCATGTCATTTATCTAAACAATTTTTTTTTATTTTTTTGAAATTAATTTAAAAAATACTAATGATTTTAAAAGATTTATATTTTTTTAGATACTATATTTAATGTTTTTTATAAGCGTAATTATTAAATTGATCAAAATTTAGTTTCATAATTATCATTAATTTGTCTTAATAACATTTGAATATTCAATTATAGTGTAGAAGATTTAAAAATATTAAAAATAAAAAGGAAAGAAAAAATAAAATAAAAATAAAGAAAATATAGATAGAATTAAGAATTAAATATGTTTAGAATAAATCAATTAATACTTTCGAAACAATTTTTTTTTATAAATTAAAACTTATTTATAAGTTAAAAAGTCAAAATAAAAAGTTAATACTAAAATTTTTATAAATCAAATTTATAAATAAAGTAACTATAATTTATAATATAATATTTTACTTTACTTAAATACAATTGATATTTATGTGAGTTTTAATCATAATCAAGTAAAATAGATAATTATTTTTTGCGGGTAAAACTTTTATGTAACAGTGAATTATAAACGCTCATAAACCTTTTAGAGATTTTTTTTTCTAAAAAATTATTACTAAACATGTATGTCTTGATATATGAATTTATTGTACATTTCTTATTACATAATTTGTTGAGTTAAAAATTCATATTTAATCAATATTTGATACAACTGTTTTTATTTAGCGTTAAAATTAATAACAAATTTTAAAATTTAAATTATATGTAATGTTTCTCATCGCAAGATCTAGTAAAGGAAATATAACTTTTTTATTTTTGTGTGACATTCACTTGTTTATATGCTTAAACCCTTTTTATACAAATTGTTATGATATTCACTTATTTGTATTGTAAAACTTCTAATTTGTACTTAGTTTTATATATTGTTGGAAAGAAACCTATAAGATAAATAAATAAACAGATAATATTTTACTTAAAGTAAGTTTATATTTTATTCATCATATTTTATTTATATATATATATATATATAATTATTATGTTTAATTTGTACAATTAGTCATAGCTTAGGAATAAACCACAATTCTTTAGAAAAAGTGATTAACATAAGGACAACTTTAATAGGAGTTTCTTATAGTTCCAGTTACTTATAAGCAACCATATTTATAAGAAACTCCGGTTGAAACAAAACAATCCGACGTGACAGTAATAGTTTTGAAAAGTTAAGTCTCGCATTTTGTAGAAACAACTTTTCTAAGAGTTACTTTTCCTAATTTTTTTCATTTTGTTCATGCGTTTCTCACCAACATCTTGTATAGCGGGTCCTATTAAAATAAAAAATGGTAGTCGAATGATGAGTTACTTATAATAACCAAGTAAATTTGTAAAAATTTAAAGAAAATTGCTTAAATATGATTTGATACTTGTGAGTCCCACTTAATAATCCATCATTAGAGATACTCTAATATATATAAGATTTTTAATTCTTTTATAATCTAAATTATGATAATGTGAGTATTTTTTTTATAAGATATAACCTCATTTTATTTATTTACTTATATTTATAATTATTAAGATAATATTAAGATAAAAAAAGAAACAAGCGTTTTCAATCTTATTTTATTTATTAATATTTAATTTATTTTTAATTACTTACTAATTCTATTTATTTATTTATTTATATTTAATTTATTTCAAGTTACTGATCCTATTTAATGAACCTTATATTTATAAGTTGACCCATATTATTTTTTTTATAAATTAAAAATATATTAATTGAATATTGGGTTTGCAGATTATACATGGAATTAACCCACTTATTTTTATATGAAAAATATTGTTAGTACAACCATAATGTAAGAGTAATTAAGTAAATATTTAACAATAATATTTAAAGTTAATATATTTTTATATTTAATTTTATACATTTAAGTTTATTTGGTCTATTTTATTTTTATAGTTTGTTAGACATGTATAATATTATAAACGGATAACATATTGAATTTATAAGATAATTTTATAATATAAAATATATTTCTATTTTATTTTTAAAATAATAATTATTAATTTGAATGTATTTTTAATTTAATAATTATTAATAAAAATATCATAATGTTTTGAATATATTTTTATTTGTTAGTAATAATTAAATAATATTTATACTAATTAAAGTCACTTTAGATCCACTTTTAATATAGTTATATAAATTTGATTAAAACCAATTTAAATATATTTATAATTTAGTTATCTATTTTTTTTGCTAATTTATTAATTTAGTTAAAATTGAAAATAAATGATTTGATAAAATTTTAATTTGGTTATCCTAACAAATATTAAATTAAAATTAAAAAGTAAATAAAAAACGTGTTTGATAACATGAGATCAACATAAATTATTTAAAATTCATGTTACTAAATACGTTTAAAAAATATATATAATTAAATATAATTTTAATCAAAATGATCCTTTCAAATACGATTTTATTATAAGAATTCGTACCATTTCACACATTTAACCCGTTAGAGTAAAATTAAAAATTTTTAACCCCTTTAATAATATCAACATTTTTTTTACCAGTTTGATAAAAAAGCAATAGAAAGAACTAGAAGCGAGAAGAAGGAAGGGGTTGAGAAGATAGGAAATGAGTAAAGAGAGAAAGGGCTTGCTGTGGTGCAAAGAGCGGAACCTGGTGGCCAGCACCTCTAACGGAGGCAAAAGTGAGACCACCCTCGTACTCCTCCACTCCTCTGTTACATTCACGTTCATCTCCTCCAGGCTATATCTTGTGGACAAAACAGGTATTCTACCATCCATGTCTCCGCTGCATTGATATTATAATGTTATAATATTATTACAAAATTTCCAAAATATTTATAAATAAGTACGTACCTATACATCCAAATGCGTAAACCGACACGCAAGAGCTTCTGAATCAGTGGTAACACCGTGATTGGTGAATCATTCCATCCTCGAATTAAAGAGCTTCATCACAGAACAAATGTTGTTACTGGAGCAGTTTATTTAATTAGCTATAATGAGCAATGATATTAGTATGTGAAAGTAGTTACCTGCAAAGGGTATAGGGATAAGGCAGGTTAGTAGTATTCTCATGGATGGCCCTCTGAACATCCTTGTTATTAAAATATTTCTCTATACGGTCATCACAGGGATTATATCCAGATGACCACACTCCATTCCTCAACTCCTAAAATGCAACACAAGGCAAAAACATACATTTTACTCACTGCAATTGTAATGTCTATTTCATTAATATAGCATTCATAATAACATTACTTACATGTTTTGTGACAACACGGGGAGCAACCACAAGTTGGGTCCGTTCATCAGGACATATCGGTGAGTAAATGCTGAAAATATCTATGTCGGAGAAAGCTTTTAAGAACCTAGCAAGACTCAAATCACAATTTTTTTTGAGCTTTTTTTCACTGAAATCACAGTTTCTTATCCCATCATATACTTGGGTTGAGATGATAGCGTGACTCACAGCAAAATCAAACACTCCTTTCAAATCTGTAATATCATTAATTACAGCATTTCCCATCTGAATTTCAGTCAGAACAAGTTAATCAATATTGTTTTGTCAAAAGAGTTGTCAAGTGTGCAAAAAATGGAGATGTAAAAAATAAGTTATTAAGTGTTATTATATACCATGAATCCCTTGATATTTATGTAAGGTCCTCTTTTGTTTCCTTCATAGATAAGCTCAGCAAGTTGTGGAGCATAATGTCCTATAATTTTAAGGATATAAAAAAGTGTTTAACTAGTCAAATACGGTGTATAATTGCATAATTAATGAGGGAATTGCTAATTAATTATAGGGATGACAAATACCTCCATAACTCTCTCCTACAACATAAAATTCATTGGATCTGAAGCTTGGGAACCTCTTGAACCAACCCATTAAAAAATCATAGTTATCAGAGGCAGAAACTCCATCCCCCAACTCATTTAAATCATTGGAGTTGTTAGTGTAAGAAAAGCCAACACCAATGGGTGACTCCAAGAAGATAATATTTGCAACTGGGAAGTTGAAGCAACATAACCCAAATTATTGTCCAACCAATTAGATAAAAAAAAAAATTAATAACAATGAGATCATGAAATTATATACCTCTGTTCCAAGAGAATTCATGAAGGTGGAGGTGATGTTCATCATCTAAAATGAATGGACCAATTTCTTGTACTGCCCCAAAGGCAACTGATGAACAACCAGGTCCTGGTCAAAAAAGATTGTTAACAATCCAAAATTAACTATGGCTACACAAATTATAAAATAATTACTTTAAATATAATTAATTTAATAAATTATACCTCCATTAAGCCAAAGGACGAGAGGTTTGCTCCACGAAGCATCTTGAGCTTCAAAGAACCAGTAGAAAAGGGCTTTCTCGTCGTCGCTTCTCAATTTAACGTAACCAGCATAATGACTAAAACTTACCCAAGGTTGACCTGGTAAATTTGTCACTTTATCGTTATGCTGCTGCCACAGTTCGTCTCCAACCGAATAATCTATTCCGGCAACACCGGCGACTGTCATCGCGACAGTGATGAGGAGAAACAAATTAAACATGATCTGAAAAATGAGAAACATTGAATTATATATGAATTTAATTTGGTCATTGGAATAATTTATTTCCCCGCCAATGATAATTACAGTAATAGCACGGAAGAGGATAATATGATAAAAAATAAGAGAAACTAAATTGTAGTATGATCATTACAATAATTAATATTAAAATATTAAAATTGAAATTTATTGCTTGCTGTGAACATGCACCACCTATAAGAAGCATACTTGCAAAGAAAATAATTACTATATCTATGTCATGAGATTTAAACTTTTATTTTTAAACTGTAATATTTTTGTACTTATACTAATGATTTTGGATTCTTAAATCAAGGGTCAAACTAGGATGGGGAAGACTGAGAGAAGCACTAACCAAGGTCAAAACTGTAACAGCGGAATCCACTAGACATTATTTTTGAAAACGTATTATATATATATATATATATATATATATATATATATATATATATATATATATATATATATATAATAATAATAAATAAATTAATATGTAACATTAATTAATTTTAATTTTTACTTATCATTATAATATTTTTAATTTTAAAAAAGTATACAGACTCATTAAAATTATTTTATTTATAAATTTCATTTACAAAAATTGTAATATTAACTTTTTATTTTGACTTTTAAACTTATAAATAAATTAGTTTCTTACTTTATTTTGAAAGTATCAATTGATTTATTTTTTATAATTAATTCTTAATTCTATCTATATTTCCTTTATTATTCATTTTCTTTTTATTTTTTAAATCTCTTATACTATCTCTAAATATAAAAATATCATTAAGATAAATTAGTGATAAATATGAAACTAAATTTGATCAATTCCCTTGTATAAAATATTAAATGTAATGTCTTAAAAAATTATAAATCTTTCTAAATTATTAGTATTTTTTTTAATTAATTTCATTATAAATAAAAATATTTAGATATAACATGAATCTAAATATCAAATATTATTTTCAAATATGAGATATTATCAAAGTAGCATGATTTAGATAAACCCAATAATTATATTGATAAAAAAAATTAAATATAAAAATTAAAAAAATACAAATCTCGTTTAAATTATTAGTTATATATATATATATATATATATATATATATTTATTTTTTTTTTTTTAATAAAACAATTCGAATGAGAAGAGAGATATTCTTTAACTAAATCCTTGTTTGCGACGTCGGGGGTGAGGAAGACGATGGACGTGGAAATGCATGGGGGTGAGGTGGACTTGAGTAGGGGTGTCAATATGAGTTATAACCTGTGAGCCAACCCGGCTCACCACGGGTTCGAGTCGGGTTGGGTTCGATTTTTTTTTATTTCTATCGATTATGGGTTAAAAATGAACTCGGCTCACTTAATCCACGGGTTAAACAGGTTCGAGTCGGGTTATGGTGGGTTAACCCGCAACTCACCATTAATTTTAATTTTTAAAAATAATTATAATAACATACTAACCTTAATTAATCATTTATTTTAAATTTTTAAAATAATTATAATACTTTAGTCATCTTAATTGATGTTATTCTGTTTTATCTCTACCCTACATTATTGGTTGTCGTCACAAGTGAAACCCTCACTTAAACTTGTTATCAGTTGTTCGCTATACCATTACGTTTGTCGCTGCATTTTAGTCACTTGTCTTATTATCTGTCCACCGCACCACTACACCATGTTCATTGTATTGCTTTCAAAGATAAGAATTTGTTTCATAACCTAAACCACTGTATTGCTTTCAAAGGTACAAATTTGTTTCATAACCAAAATTATTGGATTGATGAATTTTATTTGAAAATTGTAGCATTTATATATTTGTATGTTATTGATTTATATGTATATCTCTTTAATATATGAATTTTTGACTTCTTTCTTTTAAATTAATTTACAATATGAAATATGAAACAATACATCAAAGCGTTAATATAAATTGTATCGGTGATAATTTTATTATTAATGAAAAAAGTTTCTCCATTCCAAATTTTTATATAATTTAAAAAATAAAAAAAATATGGGTTAGTGAACGAACGGCTCAACCTTGTTCGTTTGATCTGGATTGTAAAATTTTTGGCTCACACCCGGGGTTTAGGTGATTATTTTCAGCTCAACCGTGGTGAACCCGTCACTTTGACACCGCTACTTGAGAGTATGAAACTCTAAAATCTGGAAACAAACACGGAAACCAGAGGAGAGAAGGGTGAAGAAAAAACGGAAACCAGAGGAGAGAAAGGTAAAGGAAACACGGAAACCAGAAGAGAGAAACGGAATGTTGAAACGAAATATGCACACAGCGGAAAGTTGAAGCTCTAAAACTTGAGAATGAAAACAACAGACTCTCCGAACATTGTCCAAATGTGTATTTAAACGAAAATCACCTTAAGAAAAAATGTGTTATTTAAGAGAATCAATTGAGAAATCTGTCCCAAATCCGGTTCTCTTCCTCGATCCATGGCTTAGAGGCGCGACACGGAGATGGTTTTGGGGCCGGGGAAGTGAAGCGGGGCGAGTGAAAGAGGAGGTGAAGGCACGGTGCAAGTGCGGTGGTTAGGGTCGAGGGGTGATGGCTGTTGGTGGTCGCGCGCACGGTGGGGTTTGGAGGGCAGCGGTGGCGCGACAAGTGAGAGTGTGGGGAAAGTTGGGGTGAGGGCTCGGCTGTGTGACCACGGTGAGGGAGAAGGGATTGCTCGGGGTGGCTCGAGGCAGTCGGTGCCGAGGATGGAGGGTAAGGTGGGCAGTGGGTGAAGTTTGGGTGTGGTTGGCAGTGGTGGTGTGCGGCCAAGATGGGGGTGGCTGAAGGTAGCTGCGGGGCGAGCTGGAAGGTAGTGCGGTGGTGTCTGGAACGGGTGATTTGGGCCAGGGAGGGGGACGCGGAGGCCGTGTGGGGTGAGGTTGAAGGCACGGTGGTGACCAGAGAGGAGGACGTGACGATTTGAGGCCAGGCGTGGTGGTGAGTCAGGGAGAGAGACGTGAGGGTGAGGAAGAGATGATTGAAGATGAAAGTGGAGAAGGGGAAACGAGGGTGGAATGGAGGTGGCCGTGTGGGAAAAATAAAATTTTACGTGAGTGGTTGATATGATTAGCAGAGAAATAAAAATAAAAATGAATAAAAATTAAAGGGAAGAAGAATTAAGAATACCTCGAGACCCTCTTTCCCTTATGGAACGCTTCTCTTCCTCTCCTCTTTCTGTCTTTATGTAACTTCTTAACGTTCCTCTTCTGTCTTTGTGCAGCTTCTTCTTCTGTCTTTGTGTAGCTTCTTATATATAGAGAGAGCAGATAATAAAGAGTGAAAATGTGGATATGAAGAGGTGGATATAAGAGTGGAGTTACATAAAGATAAAGAAAGTGGGTGTATAATTGTTGAAATAGAGAAAAAAATAGGAAAGTGGAGTGAGAAGATATTTTTATTTTATTTTTTAATAAAATATTTTTTAATTATATTTTTATTTTTATTATTTAGACGAAATTGAGTGTTATTGATAATATGTTTTAATTATTATTATTATTATTTTGTCCCATGACAGGAATTATTGGTGTTAATTTGTGGAAACATGGAAAAAGCAGGCTCTGGTTGCTAGGTGCAAAACCGAGTAGCACTAATAGCATAAAGGTTGCGCACACATGCTTTGATTTGATTTATGGGGGAAATTATATGGAATCCATAGACTAGTAAACAAAAAGTTAGTCTGGTGTAAAGCTGGCGGTGACATTGCTGAGAATAAGTTACTTGTGAATAACATAAACTTGGCTGTGAAGTAATTAGTGGGGTGGAGGAGAAGGTGTGGGGTGAAGAGGATGAGGGGAGAAGGGGTGGTGGAGGCGCAACCGGGAAGGAAAATGTGAGAGGGGGAAGGATAGGGAGAGTGTTAACGATATCTCATAAAAAAAATTAAGTGCTGACTCCAACACAGACAGTGGGACACGACACGAACATGGAGACGGGTGAAGTTCTCACATCTAAACATTTTATATATATTAGACATAAATAAATAGAAATTTAAATATGATTCAAATCAGAAAAATATAAATTAAAAATTAAAATTTAAATATGATTTAAATCAGAAAAATATAAATTAAAAATTAAAATTTGTTCTTTCTGACAAAGTTGTTAAAATTTACAATTTTTATATGATATTCTAGCAAAAAAAATAGTAAGAAGTATTATTTCATAACGTAAGAACTTTACCTTTTTATAAAAAGAAAGTCTTAAAATAAGAAGATGATGTGAACATGATCTATGATAAGGATTAGAGCAAGGGAAACAAATGAAGCTCTTCCACAAGTATTGTTCGTTAGTCAAATTGTGTTTTGAATTAATCAATTAATGAGCTTTAATTTAATTTTATTGCAAGTTGTAATAAGTACCAAATTGAAAATTTAGTCATCAGTCTTTCGGAGACTAAGATGGTGCATAACTGATTGACTTTTGGTTGCCACAGTTTCAGATACAATCAGTTATTAAGTAGTTTTTAATTTCTAGGTTAATAAATCATTATTAGCATTTATTTTCCTTTAATAAATATTTGTAATTCTGATGACAAAGCTTCTTTATATGCTGAACCATTTTTATCAGAAATAACAAGTTAAGTTTTATTTTTAGAAATATTAAAGTTTATCTCTTTTATCTTAGTGAGTGATTCAAGAATATTTAGCTGTATCAAAGGACTTTCACATCCTTTGTGAGTTGCCTTCCTTGGAAAGAGTGATTCTTTACTTCTACCTTATTACTAAACTCGTAAATTTCCTACAAAGTTCTAACCTTAAAGATCCTAAATTATCCCTTGTGATTCATATCAGTTGGTATTAGAGTCCCGGTTTAAAGGTTTGAACATCAAATTGATGAGAGAGGAGGATAAAAAGAAAATGAGAGAAAAATTTCTTCAAGAAAAGAGAGAAAAAAAGAAGAAGAGTGGAACACTTGAAATGAGGGAGAGCTATTTAGTCATAAAAAGTGAGTATAATATTAGTTCTATATTCAATTTATCAAACTGGTCTCTTTTTTATGTAGATGAGGAATCCGATTTGAGGATAAAAATCCTTTTCAAGAGGGAGAGAATGATGTGAACATGACCTATGATAAGGGTTAGAACAAGAGAAGCAAGTGAAGCTCTTCAACAAGTATTGTTGGTTGACTAAATTGTGTTTTGAATTAATCAATTAATGGGCTTTAGTTTAGTTTTATTGCAAGTTGTAATAAGGGCCCAATTGAAAATTTAGTCATCAGTCTTTGGGAGACCAAGAGAGTGTATAGCTGATTGACTTTTGGTTGCCACAATTTCAGATACAATCAGTCATTAAGTAGTTTTCTATTCCTAGGTTAATAAATCATTATTAGCATTTATTTTTCTTTAATGAATATTTTTAACCCCGATGGCAAAACTTCTTATAAGTCTGAACCATTTTTATCGAAATAACAAGTTGAGTTTTATTTTTAAAAATATTAGAGTTTAAATCTTTTATCTTAGTGAGAGTGATTCTCCTAAGTTCTTGAATGATTCAAGAATATTTGGCTGTATCAAAGGACTTTCACATCCTTTGTGAGTTACCTTCCTTGGAAAAAGTGATTTTTTCCTTCCACCTTATCACTAAATTCCTAAATTTCCTACAAGGTTCTAACCTTAAAGATCCTAAATTACTCCTTGTGATTCATATTAGAAGATGAATCAAATCTATTAAAGACAATGGCCTCCATGATCATCATCATTGAAAAATACACTCTCTAGCTCCGGTTCATCAAGCGATAAATTAGCAACTTCAAGTATTTCACTCTCATTTAATGATCCAAATGCATCTCCTGCTATGTTCCACATTTTCCTCTTGGTTATATTGTGGAGAATTCCTTAAAAGAAGACGGAGGTTGCTATGAACAAATATTAGATCTTCCCCCTATATGGTATCATCTTGTTTCTTTTCATAGAATGAATAAAAGAGTAAGTGCTCAAATTTCTTTCACAACATGAAGAAGAGCAAGGTTTCATTAATTCTACAATATTAGTATTTTCTTTTCTTTAATAACTGTTTTTATGATGAACCATTCATATAAATGCATCAACTTTATTTTGGGTTAGAAGTCATCCTAATATGTATCTTTAAAATAATATTTTGGGTTCAAATTTGATGAGACCAATATTTTGTTTAAATACTTTTTTAATTAATTGATTTTGTATAGATATATTAATATATTTTTTTAATTTTAATCTAGTCAAATTGGCATGTTAACCTGTTTATTTATAAACTATATAATAATAATAATAATAATAATAATAATAATAATAATAATAATAATAATAATAATGTTATAAGAATTTTATTTTCATATAAAGAAAAAATATAATTAAATATTTATTTTATATATATATATATATTTTTTTAATATAAATATAATAAATTAAAGTATATATTTAGTTAATAATAATAATTAAAAATTATAAAATTATAAATATTTATTTATATGTAAAAAATATATTAAAAATATTTTATTATATGTAGAATGAGGAGAGATCGAAGCTAGAAAACCCAAAATCTAACGAGAAGGGGATGATAACTTAATTTTTATCATCGTGAAGATTTTGGGCGGGGATGAGGATGATTGAAAAAGTTGAGGGCCATGGTTCGGGAGACAAAACTCACTTTCGCCTCGCCACATTGTCATACCTACCACTAACCCAGCGGGCCAAGGATAGGGGCAAACTAATTCCATGACCCATTTATAAAAAATATTTATATTTGAAAGTTAAAATAAAAAATTATAATTAAAAGTATTACATTTTTTTATGCTCAAATATAAAAACATATTATATTATTTAAATTATAAAAGTTAACCAATTATGCTTAAATTATTCATTATAATTAGGTATTTTAACACCTAAATTTGGTATTTTTTTTAGTTTATCTAATAAAAATATTAAACAATGAATAAAAAAATAAAAATTATTCCAATAATTAAAAGCATATTTTTAAAAATATACAAAAAATATTACATAAAAAGAAAATATTATTTGGCTAGTCTGCTAACTTGTTACTCCATCCTCTTACAAGACAGGTTGGGACTCTATAGCCAAACCTGATTATGATGAGTAAAGCCGTCCCACATTGATTTTAGTGGACTAGAGGCAGGGTTGATCTTATGGGTAAATCATAGTCAACATCATTTATAATTAGTTTTCTTATTATCAAATAAAAAATATTTTTATTTTTTTATAGATGGTTGAAATATATGAAGAAATTATAATAAATAAATAATTTATTAGCATAAAACTAAAATAATAAATGATAATTATGAGTAACATTTATTATAGTAAATTAGTGAAAACATAAGTGTTAAAAGGCTTGAATGGCCATATTTTGTTTATAATTAATTTCTTTTAAAATTTATTTTATTTTCTCTTTCCACTCTTTAAATATATTCTTTTTCTCATATTTTTATTAATTTTTAAATATATAAATTATAATAATAGCTTTTCTTTATACTATAACACTTTTATTTTTCTCTATTCAACAGTACTTAAAAAAGCGGTTAAAAAAAATCCAGTTTATATATAATTATAGATGATAGAAAAAAATATTTTTAAAAAAACTAGTAGCATTTTTTCATAAATATTGATTAGAAAATTAGGAATATTTATTGTTATAAATGATAAGAAACAATTAATTAAAATAGAAAAGTACCATTTTCTATCAAAAGTTACTAATTCATATATTTTACCAAATTGAAAGATATTGGTTCTAATTTATATTAATTACTTAAAAATTATATATATATATATATATATATATATATATATATATATATTTATCCTTGGACATTTTTAAAAATTTCTTCCATATCCTGAAA